CAATTGATTTGAAATTCAAATCTCAAATCAATTCCCTCCTAAATTACTCAAAACTGAAATTAAATTTCAGATTTGATTAATCTCTCCCATAATTTCCTAAGCATATTTTCTCCAAACCCTAGCTCTCCCTCCTTGCACCCGCCGGCTTCATCTTCTCCCTTGAGGATCCCGCCGACCCCTCCCCTCTCTCTCCTTCTCTCATGCGTTGAGAAGCCTAGAGACAACGTGGACGGCCCCTCTCCTATTCTCTTCAATGTTGAATGGCGGATCCGGAGTTTGAGTGGGGTCTTGTATTCAACGCCGACGGAAGCATCAACATTCTAAGATCTTCGTGCTTTGACGTAGGATTTGAAGACGAGACCACCGTGGAAGAATATTTGGACCGAGTCGTCCCGATTCTTGCTAGCATCTTCGACCGACGATTCTCAAGCCACGATTGGAGCCTCGTAAGCCGCCCACTACCTCATTCCCCGCCGGCTACTTTTCCACCAACGAGGTTCTTCGGTCTCGCTTCTATAGTGGTAATATCCTTCATCGCTTGGACCTTCTTTCTCCACTAAAAGCCTACTATTAATTGAGAGAAACAGCCTCAAGTTGAAATTCTCATTGTTAAGTGTTGGATTTTGTTGATTGTATTTAGCATTTAAATCTCCTTGAAATTTGAATGAATAGCTTTGGTTAATTTCTCTATTGCTAATCTTTGGCCTAAGCAAGTTAACTTTTCTAATTCTTAATTCTATCTTGCATGATCGAAATAAACTTATAAGAGCAAACTTAAACAATTCTCTTTTTAATTTTAATCGTAACTCCTAGTAGTTTCACATCACATTGACTCCTCATTCATGGCGTCAAACAAGGGTGGCCGGCGGTGGGGCTTGGCTTGGGTGGGGCAGGTGGAGGAGCTAATGAAGAAAAGGGATTGAGTTGGTGGTTAGGTTGAGGTGAGCTTTGGTAGGAGGGGTTATGAGGTGGTGGTTGGTGGTGGAGATGGCCGGCGGTGGAACTTGGGTAGAAGGGAAGAAAGGAGAGGAGGAGAACCAAGAGCCACCGGAGGTGACTGTTGGGTACGACGGGTGGCCTCTCCTAGGCTCCAACAAACTCTCAAATTCTTTCTCAAGCTCTCACCTAAGCTTCAAGAACACAATTGCAGAAATTTTTTGTGATTATCATTCATTAACCTCAAAAGAACAAGATGAAGGCTTTAAATAGCCTCTTACAACGACATAAAACAAAATGACTCAAATACCCTCAAGGGGCTACATGACTCAATCCCTCAAGTAAGGGTAAAAAGAGAAAATGCTGAAATAAAAATACATCACTAAGGAAACAATAATAAAATCAAAAGTACATCGGATAAATCGTGGCTGTTGATCTACGGCCACGTCGACGGTAGACTTTCCGACTGATGTCATATATATAATGATTAGTACCACCCAAATATTAAACCACATATAACTGTTTTGCTTGTTTTAGTTTCAGAGGTTTTGTAACTAGAATCTTTCAAATAATTATGTATTCTTTAAGTATAAATAAGAGCATGCTACAATTGATGCAATTCAATTATTCACTTACCAAACCTCTTAGGTAGACGTGCAGAGCTTAGATGTATAATTATGAGGCCTTAAAGTATGAGACTAACCATCAATAGAAACCATATGCAGATTTGGATTCTAAATACATTTATCATCTTCTTCTTTTTTTTGTTTTAAATACATTTACATTTATCATCTTTGCTTCTAATGTTTGTGATAATTAGGTTTGCGTTACTTCCATTTGGATTTAAATAAATAGCTTGTCATGCCTTGTGCTGATGGTCTATTTTTCAAATGAAATTTACCTGGGTCATTAAATATCTTCTTGTTGGCAAGTTAAAGAGATGTCACCGCTTCCCTCCTAACCCAGATTCATTCATGTGGATGGGGTTGTCTGGATTTGAGGCTAGAATTGGCACTTTCCATCACCATGGCTGTGGCAAAAATGAGATTAAGGGAGTGGGAGGGATAGTTGCAAATGAACCTTCTTGTGTATATTTTTGGAAAAGTGAGGAGTCGAACTGATTAATTTAGAAAAGGTTGAAATGTCAATCTGTATGAGCTATTATGGAGCTTTAACTGAAGGAATCTTGCTTTTACTTATTATAAACACGATAATTCTAATTGGCTCGTTGTAGAAAGACAGCAGTCTATCTACCAATTTATCACTGGCAAAAGGGATATGGGTACTTTTAGTCTTATCAATAAACTCCTGATCTACCAAGGTGGTTTGGTGGCACTTTCTCCGTGCTACACTGTAACTGCTCAAATGATTATTGACAGGATAAGGTGGTGTCTAATAACACAAAAAGTTGAATTTTCTATCTTCTGCTGTTTAAAGTACTTAAACTGCTCAAATGATTATTGTCTCCCTCTCTTGAATTAATTTTGCCCCCTAATTTTGTAGTTTTTATTTGTTTTAATCAATTGTAATCTTTGGCTGCAAAAGCAAATAGGTTGGTTGAGTTTTCTATTGTGTTTTGGGTATTTCATAACATGCAATAGAATCTTTTAACAACAAAATATTTACACAAGAGCATATGTATCTTTCTTAATAGTAATAGATAAAACTAAAGAGGCATGCATAATTAACTGATGTTTGTTTTTAGATTCAATGATTAAGTCTAACGGCTTGATTAATTAATGTTATATCGGCCTTTTTATTCTATATAAAATATGCCAATTTTTATATGAATACGCCAGAAACTGGGTAATGAAATTTCTTACGATTGATTCATTGTCAGCTCGACTTGCTTCTGGCTAAAGCAAGCTAATGCTACTTAATATTTGAATATTTCTATTGTTCATATTTTGAGAAATGAGATTATTCTGTATGCTATATTTAAACTTGGTCATGCAACAATCAAAGATCCTGTTTGTAACGATGCATGACCATGAGCTCCCAAGCAGTGACCACATGAATCCTGTGCCATAGCTTATCTCGTGCTGTTGAAATGCGACCTGCTGATTTTGTTCTACTGACCCATATTCCTAGTCAAATGTGTCTTTTGCTGGTGTGCAGTTTGATAATTGCCACCATCTTTTGTTATCCAGCTGATTGTATCTCATCCACCGAAGGCCTGTTTTGATTGAGCATAGGTGGTTTGCAGAAATGGCGCATGGGAAGGGAGATACTTTTTGGTGTTTGTTTGGCAGGTTAGCGGGGAAGGATTTAGAAAGATTTTTCTGTTCACTAGTTCCTTAGTCATTTGTATGAAGTTGCATAACCCGCTTCTATTACTCCATCATCAGCCTTTACCAAATCTTTGGAGTTAGCTTATATCGCTTGCTGGGAACCAAACAGATCCCGAAGCAGCCATACTTCCTAGTTTCTATACCTGACTAGCAGCTATCTCCTTAATTCCTAAGACGCTTCTTGCTATTTGGTTGGCAGCCAAAGTGAAAAGTAAAACGTAAGAATTTTATTCATCTGGACTGACCGTCCCATTCACTTTATAGCCACTTTCAAAAGTGGGACCTGCTGGGAAACCAACAAATCCTTTGTGTGCTTATACTTCAAAATTTTCAGAGCTGCACTAGTAGTTCTTTTCATCTTATTTGCTTATTGTCTAAATGTTCTTCTGCATTTAATTTTTTTTAGAAGTTCCAAAATTCTCTTCTGTTTGTTCTACACCTCAGATCAGGCTGCTTTGGAAGCTGAGGCAAGAATTGCACCTTTGCTTGATGAGAAGAGAAGGTTGTTCAATGAATTATTGACAAACAAGGGTAACGCCATGACTTCATTAACTTATTTTCACGAAAATTGAACTTAAACAATTCTCAGTAGCTGATTAAGTTTCAAAATTTATTCGCTGCCCTCTCGTTTCCATTTATTTTTTAACAATCTGCCTAGTGTGTTCTAGTGATTTTTATGTTCTGGATCTCAGGGAACATAAAGGTATTTTGTCGTGTAAGACCCCCTTTCGAAGATGAAGGTCCATCTGTGGTCGAGTTTCCAGATGATTTTACCATTCGCATTGATACCGGTGATGACTCTTTTACCAATTCAAAAAAGGACTACGAGTTTGATAGAGTTTATGGGCCCCATATTGGACAAGGTGTGACCTAAACTGATGAGCAATTTTGTCCTTGCAGCTTCCATTTTAACAAACAAAATGTCTGATTCTTGTTATAAATGGTAAATAGTTGACATATAGTTTTCTGTTTTTGTTTTATTCTGATTTGGTTTTGAAACTGTGCCAGGTGAATTCTTTGATGATGTTCGACCTTTCGTACAGTCAGCAATTGATGGATATAATGTTTCCATATTTGCATATGGGCAAAGTAATTCTGGAAAAACACACACAATGGTCCCATTCTCTCTTCTCCCCCACTATGGCTCTGACTTCCTTTCCAGACTAATATTCTTTTAATCTAACAGGAATTAATATCTAATCATTTCTTTTATGTTTTTGATTTTTGAATTTGAATTTGATCTGGCCATCATTTAGGTCATAACACTAGTTTTGTTATTAAACTTATTGCTGCTGGAATAGCTTAAGCTAGCTTTTTTTCCTTTTTTCTTGCTGTTAAGTACTTATCAATTGATTAATGATGACAGATTAATCTCTACCACATTATTTCTTTGATAACAAATTATAGACGTGCAATTTGTTGGAGATGGGAAGCTCCGACCATTATAATTGGCTCCTATGGTTAAATACTTTTGTGGGAGTTTTGAGTGCACTGAAACATTTGGAGAAATGCAGGGATACATAAAATTCTTGTCTAACAATTGAAGATGGATGTATGAAGGTTGGACGATTGTGCTGTTCAATAAAAGGCTTAAGTCTCAATTATTTAGATTAATTTTGACGCTTATATGAGAAGTCAGAGCTTTTTTATGTTCCAATATTTACATAGTTGAAAGTTACGCACTTATGGCATCTAAATATACCACCGTTTTCATTAGCCTTATTCTAATTATTTGGGGTCGGTTTTATGGATCTTCATGTTTCATTTGTTTCTGTTGAGCTTTAAGCACTTCAGGCACTTTAAACTCAATTGGATCATGCAGGCCCTTGATTTTGAAGATGAATTTTGGAGGGGTGATAACACAATACACGTTTGCAATGAACAACAAAATATCAAGAGATAATAGCAGACTCAGATCTCAATAAATGTTTGCTTACAGCTGTATTGAATACATTCTTATCCGTATTAAACAAATTTAAAATAAACGATTAAATAATGAAAATTCGCCCACAAATGATAATGGGCCTTATAAAGATAAATATTGATTCAGTTTATTAACTTATTCGTTGTCTGATTTAACTCCCTGTAAAGAGCAAAAGTGTTGGATCTTTTTGACAGGTTTATGGAACTAGTAATGCATTCATTTGAAAGAATCTTTAAAGGTTGATGGATTAGCAATGCATTCCTTTGAAAGAATCGTGAATTTCCTTAAGGCATGCAATATCACCATCTTGTGAGAACGTTGCTACCGATTTTAGTTGCTACTAGTAGAATTGTGGATGGAGTAAATTTATTTAGTTTTTACTTGTATATATACCACCAGCATAAACTGGATACAACACGGAGTATTAGAGGATTAGTGGTGATTTGATTTGGTAAAATAGTTACATTACTAAAAGGAGAGAAAAAGATCAAAATAGTCTCTTGACTCTTTATGAAGGACCAAAATAATTCCTAAATATATTAAAGGATCATTTGATCCCTCAAATCTTTAAAAATGAATCAAAATAGTATCATGGTGGGACTACTTTGATTTCTCTTATGAAGTTGATGGATCAAAATGATCCTTTAATATATTGAGTAATGTTTTAGTCTTAGTCAAGGGACTATTTGGTCCTTTTCTCGTTAAAAGAATGACCAATACCAATGTTAAAAGATAAAGCATGCACCAACACATTAGTTTTCTGTTGCTTACCAATATGATTAAGTTTTTTGGCTATGGTGATTGAAAGACAAGTAAATAAAGTGCAAATAATGTGTATAGGTTTAACAAGCTAAGTCATTCTCCCCGGCGAAAACTTTCAAAACACTAGAATAAGCTTACATGATAAGCATTTGCCTTTCATCATGTATTACAAAATTTCTTTGAACTTCAAAATTATGCTTGGAGAATGCATAAACAACATGCCATCTAATGGTTAAATCTTATAGAGGAGGTGCAATATTAAAAGATTTATATTAAAATCCTATGAGTTGGTTGAAGTTGTCAAATTCAATTATAATTTTATTCTTTTAGATTTAGATTCATTCATAAGAATGAATTATTATTCATGTAGGATATTAGTTTATTTTTAATGCTTATGTTGGGCTTTGAAAATTCACGCTAAGCTCTTTTGTGAGAGTGTGATTTTGAGTTAAATTTTTTAAAAAGGAAATTGGATATCTTAGAGTCATTATTATATTTCAACCTTATTTTGTTTGTTCCTTAGGATTTTGTTCGAGGTTTTTTGTAGGCGTAAGTCCCCATGCTAATTACATCTTCTAAACAAGAGGGAGAATATTCGAGTGAGGCTAGCAGGTGGGTGTTAAATAGATATCTTATACTCGTAGCGATTTGGCTTACAGAGGAGGAAAATATTTTGCTTTTGGCTTAAAATAGATGGTTTGGGGGGGGGGGTGATGCTAAACCTAGTCAAGATCACATGATTTTGTTGTCACGAGTTGTCATGGATCGGGATCCTGGTTTACTCAGGAGACGAGATAGTTGACCCAACTTGATTGAAGGGTTCTGTTCAATAACTATGAGTTGCGACATCCAATAAAACCTTGTAAACTTATGGTGAATATTTGTTGAAGGAGATAATTTTAAATCATGCTTACCTAACAAAAGTCTTTGTGCTATATCAAGTGCATCATATAGTTCACAATTTAAGAGGTTGAGCCATTAAGGAACTTCTAGGCTTTATTTGCTACCATAATTTGGTGGTGCCATTTTACGACGAACCATTCAATCAGAGGGTCTTGGCTGTAATTGTAATTTACTGGTGTCATTTTGCAGTAGAAATTTGGCCATAGGACATTTGACATGTCTTTATTATATGAGATCTTTGAGAGTGATCATATAGCATGCTTGATATGACATTAACTTTTTGTGTGCTTAGGTTATCTTAAATTTATTATCCTCGATAAATTATTATGGAGATGCTAAGAATTTAGCTTTTAATCATTTATATAATATATTAGATACTAAGGAGGGTGAAATATATTCGTATAAATTAGCCAAACAAAGACAAAAAGTAACTATTTAGTTCAAGTGAATTGCATTAAGGATGAAGATAAAAAAAGCTTTTATAAGAAGAGGATATTCAACAAAGGTGGATAAAATATATTAGTAAAATTTTTAGTAAAAATTGTGAGAACACGATCGACTTTAGTAACCTTAGCAACCTAAATAAAAATAGAGATTTTTATTTATATTGACGTGTTAGTAAAATCAAAGTTAGAGAGGCTTAAAAAAGGAATTATGGAAAAGCTTTTAGCCCTGATAATATTCCAATAGAGGTGTGGAAATGCTCAGGAGATGAAGTAATTTTTTAGCATATAAAACTTTTCAATATTATTTTGAAGACTAAAAAGATGCCAGATGAGTGGAGTGTGTTGGTTCCTATTTTTAAGAATAAAGGTTGAAGAAATTTTTCAGAGTAAAATTCAAATTCTATTCTATTCCTTGGAATTATTGCATATATATATTTTAGGAAAATATAAAAATAAAAGGCATTTAATCTAATTAGTTATGATAATCATATCCCACGGATCTCCAACTGCAGCCCTCAGATTACTATACACGGATCTCCAACTGCAGCCCTCAAATTACTGCACACGGATCTTCAATTGCATCCCTCGAATCTCCATTTGCAACCATTAGATTGCTGCCCACGGATCTCCAATAGCAACCCTTGGATTGCTTCCCACGGATTGATGATGTGGCCTCCCCCTTGGCTGCATAATTCAACACTCTCCCTCAAGTTGGGTTGTAGAGGTTGTGCAATCCTAACTTGCAAACAAACTTATCAAGTAGAGAGCCCGGTAATGCCTTTGTTAGAACATCAACAAGTTGTTCATGAGTTTGGGTATGTACTAATTCAATTTATGAGTTCTCTATTTTCTCAGATATATGGTGTCTATCAATAGTAATATGTTTTGTTCTGTCATGATGTACTGGATCTTTGGCCATATTGATTGCGGATGGATTGTCACATTTCAACTTTATCATGCATTCAATTTTTATTCCCAGTTCAATCAATACTTGTCTATCTAAATTCCTTCACAAATAGTAACTGCTAATACTCTCAGTTCAGATTATGCACTGCTTCTAGAAACAACAAATTGTTTCTTGCTCCTCCATCTCACTAGGTTCCCCCACACAAATGAACAATATCCTAAGATCAATCGACTGTCAACCTGACTTCCTGCCCAATCTGTATCAAAAGAAAGGATCAATTTCCTATCTTCATTTTTCTTAAATAATATTCTCTTTCGAGGAGTACTGTTCTTGAGATATCTCAAGATTTGATATACTGCCTCCTTTTGTTCCTTCATAGGATTACTCATATATTGACTTATCATACTCACAACAAACCCAATATTTGGACGGTGGTGGAGAGGTATATAAGCTTTCCCACAAGAAGTTTCTTCTCAGGATCCATAGGTGTACTGGCTGGTATGCATCCCGGCATGTCAGTCTCCTTCAGTAGGTCTAAGGTATACTTGCGTTGGAAAACAAATATATCTTTGCTTGATCGAGCTACCTCTATATCAAGGAAGTATCTAAGTGATGCTAGTATATAACTTCAAAATTCTTGGACAAAGCCTGCTTGATCTTCATTATTTCCTCCATATCATTTCCAGTTTGGACGATGTCATCCACATATACAATCAGTACTGCTACCTTATATCTTTCTGACTGCGTCACAAACAATGTATGATCCGCTTGACATTGTTTAAAAGCATGGCCTTTACATACTTTGAGAATCTTCCAAATCATGCTTTTGGAGACTGCTTTAATCCATACAAAGATTTCGACAGTTTATACACTTTATTCCTTCCATAAGACTTCTGAATCCCCATTGGAATCCTGTGTAGACTTCTTCTTTCAGGTTCCCATTCAAGAATGCATTCTTGATATCTAGTTGATGTAGGAGCTAATCTAAATTTGGTGCTAAGGAATGAAGAATCACATAAGACTAAGTGAATCCTCTTGCAACCAATCTAGCTTTCAACCTCTCAACACTATCATCCATCTTATGCTTTACAGTGACCCATTTGCAAGTCACAACTTTCTGTCCTTGTAGGAGTTTTGTACACTCACAGCCTAATTTTTTTCCAATGTCATAAT